CGCCGCGGCGGCGGCCGCGCGCCCTTGAGTGCAATTTGAGTCCAGGATCTAGCGGTTTGAAATTCACACCAGGCATGTGTGCATGTGTGCCCAAAATAGCCAGAGGAGAATGGAAGAGAAGGGAGTGTGGCATAGCCATCCTCTCTGAAGGAGTGATTTCTCATTTTCTCTCTCACTCTCTCTCTCTCGAGGAAGCACATGCACCCCTTAGGAAAAAGAAAAGAAAAAAAGAAAAAACAAGAGCAAAATGAAAAACCTAACACAAAGTTGCTTAATTAATAAGTAAAGAAAAAATAAAAATAATAAAGATTTAGAAAAATACACAGAGAATATCTTCATGATATTGTAGTAGGCAAAGACCTTAGAAACAGTTTTTTAAAAAGCATAAAAGAGAAAATTAATAAGTTAGAGTTCATAAATACGAAGAACTATTCATCAAAAACATTATCAATATCTTCACACATCCATTAGAAAGACTCAAATTTAAAAAGACCAACAATACCAGGCTTTTTTAATTACACATTTACCAACACGCTACTGCATATATACAACAAACAACTCATTCAGAACATATCACAAATTTTTGTAAATCAATAAGAAATACAAATAACCTTATTGAAAAAAAAAAGTGAATGACTTGAACAGTCACCTCACAAGAAAAGATAACCACAGTTTCAATGAGGAGTTTATCATTAATGCAATAATGTGATATTACCACATGCTTTCCAAAATATATAAAATTTTAAATAACTGATGATACTTTATTTTGTAAAGATAAAGAATGACTGAAATTCATAAAATCAACCAGGGTGGACATAAACTTCTTTAGAAACGTGTTGGCCAGTATATGTTAAATTAAACATGTGGCTATTATATGACCTAACAATTCCTTTTTTGAGTCTATAATGAAGATAAATTAGTACATATATCCACCAAAATACATACAAGAATTTTTATAGCTCCATTGTTGATCTTAGCCAAAATCTGAAAGCCACCTAATCTTCATCACTGGAAATGAGAATGAATAAATAGCATGTGGTAGGGTCTAAAGCAATGGTTTACAACAATGCAAAAAAATAAGTAAAAATAAATTACAATACATGTAACAACACAGCTGCTTCTCACAAACATGTCACTGAGCAAAAGGAGCCATAAATATAAAAGAACAAAGAACAAATTAATCGAAGAGGAGAAAAGGTAGAATAGCATCTCCTCCTTGGAAGAAGAGATGTTAATAGAGAAAAAGCACAGAGATCATTTAGAATTTTGGAAATGTTCTACATCTTTAGCGAAATATTCTGAAAGAAAGACTTTCAAACCAGAAAATTACCCCCAGCTAAATTATCAAACAGGTATAAGGGCAAAATAAAAATGTTTTAGTCATGCTATGGCTCAAAAGCATATCTACTTATTTTTAGAAAGCTACTGGAGGATGTACTCCACCAAAATAAGGGCATATTGCACAATAAGGGCCATGTCACAATTCTGTCACCATTCTCCAGGGATTTGGGGCACACACAGGTGTGCTCCCAGCATGCTTCAAGACTCTAAGACTCTGGGTCCAGGACTTGAACTGTGGCCAGTCGTGGAAGTCCAGTGCCTTAATCACCATGCCTCCTGCTGGGATACACACACAGATACACACACACACTCACACACACACACACACACACACACACACACACACATATACACACACACACCCCAAATACTGAGGTATTACTGCCTTTTGAGGATGGGAATTTCTCATGGGGCTGGTGGTAAACAAAAGAAAGTACTTTCTTCCACGATAGGAAATCAGTTTATATCTAACACTACAAACTCAAAGAAGAGCAGAATATGCATGTTTTTTAGTAATTGTGAGATAAATAGAAGAGCTAAGAATGTAAGAACAGGGGCTGAAAATGAACCTTTGGAGTGATGTGTCCAAGAAAGAGAGATGGACACCCCACCAGAGTTCACAGATGAAGCACACAAAGTGATTGAGTTGGGAGTGAGGTAGGGAGCACGTCAAGCCAAGGATTAGTGGAGTAGGTGTGTGGACAGACATGAAATATCTGATGGTGCAAAATACCCAAAACCAAACACTGCAGCAAAGATACACAAATAAAACAAGATGGAAAGAGAAGCCAGGGTTGCTAGACACAACCAACTCATGATCCATTCAACCCCCAGGCCACTAATAGACACTGCATCTCACCAGATGCTTTCAAGGCACAAATACACCTCCAAGAAACCAGCCATCATCCAATCACACACAGAAGTCCTGGAGACAAATATAACAAGTGTCTAATTGTTACTCTCTAGAAACAAAATCTGAGCAAGGAGGAAAGGAAGGTTTGTGAGACTCCTGTGAGGAAAACACACCTGGGAGTATAAAAACTCTGACAGCACAGAGTGCTCCACACACACACGTACACACTCCATCCCAGCTCACCACGTCCAGCTCCACCACACAACATGACTGACACCTGCTGTTCCAGAACTTGCATCATTACTGCCTCCACCTTGTCCATCTGCTCTAGTAATGGGAGCAGTGGCAGCCGGATCTGCTCACCCAGACCTTGTTCCAGCTCCTCCTGGCAGGTAGACAACTGCCAGGAGAGCTGCTGTGAGCCCCCCTGCTGTGCCCCCAGCTGCTGTGCCCCGGCCCCCTGCCTGACCCTCGTCTGCACCCCAACAAACTGCATGTGCAGCCCCTGCTGCCAGGCAGCTTGTGAACCCAGCCCCTGCCAGTCAGTGTGCACCAGCTCCTGCATACCCTCATGCTGCCAGCAGTCTAGCTGCCAGCCAGCTTGCTGCACTTCGTCTCCCTGCCAACAGGCCTGCTGCATGCCCATCTGCTGCAAACCCACGTGCTGTGTGCCTGTCTTCTCTGGGGCTTCCTCTTCATGCTGCCAGCAGTCTGGTTGCCAGCTGGCTTGCTACTCCTCCTCCCCCTGCCAGCAGGCCTGCTGCGTGCCTGTCTGCTACAAGCCTGTGTGCTGCAGACCATTATCCTGTGTGTCTCTGCTGTGCCACCCCGTATGCAGATCTGCTTGCTGGGTGCCCACTTCCTCCTGTTGTACCCCTGCCTCCTGCTGCCAGCCCAGCAACTGCTGCCCAACCTCTTCTGTGTCCCTGCTCTGCCACCCCACTTGCACCCGCCTGGCCTGCTGTGGCCTCTCCTTGGGCCAAAAGTCCTGCTGCTGACTGGGCCATCCCCGAGCCCAGCCAACTCCAAGGTCCCCTTCCCTACCAGTCCTGGAAATCCCTGGCCTCCCAGTATACCCTGTCCAGGCCCAGCTCTACCCCAGAGAATGAGCAGTACCAGTGCATCAGTCTCACCAGCCTGGGGCCCGAGATGCTCACTGGCCCCTCTGAGCTCCCAGGATCCTTGGCTGCTCCATGGGTACTACCTGAATCCAGAATGTCCCTCTTCTGTCAGACTGGGACCTGACTGAACTGAGCCTGGCACCCAGCAGTGTCACACTCAACCTCTGAGTATGAATAAACCCCATGCTTGCTCCGCATGATCCCCTGTCTTGACTGTGGCATACCCAGGGTGAGAGGGGGGCGAAGTGCTTGGTGGTCCTAGCTCAGGGGACCAGCCTGCTCAAGCCTTTATTTTATGGCTGGCTATGGGGAGCAGAGGTCTTGGCAGGTCACCTGGAAGCTCCTGGCCACTGCAGGGCAGTGCTCTGTTGTACAGCCACCCCAGTCCTATGGGTTTCAGAGCTTTGCTCACTGGCCACGTCCTGGCACCTCCACATAGTCAACCTCAGGACAGGTAACGGCTGTTCCCCAGGCATGGTGGATGGGCCTGTCTAGGGTGTGCATGGCCACAGCTGTGCTTGTAAGTGGAAACTCTGAGGAACTTTGTCGTTGGAGCCCAGTGTCTGCTCCCCCTTACCCCCCCCTCCCCCCGCATATGTTCACAGGTCCCCTGATGCTGATGCTCCACTCCAGAGGGAGCTGCTGGGTACAGAGAACAGAGAGGCAGCCACAGAGCTCTGACTACTAGACTGGTAGGTTGGATAGTGGAACTGGAAAAGCAGATCTTGGGCTGTACTGGGGGAGGGGGTTCCAAACAGTGTGTGCAGACCAGTGTTTGGGAGACACACATGAACATGCATGTCCAGATGTAGCCAGATATGGTTTCACCCAGGATTAAGCAAATCTGAGAATAGACTCCTGGCTGTACAACTGCAGAGAGGATGGACATTGATGAAGGTGGCAGTCACCACATTGCGACAGATGTCCTCAGTCTTCACACCAGTGCATGGCCACAACAGAAGGAGTAGGCATGGGAAACATCTTATGATTGCCTCTGCAAAGATGCACAGCTCCAAAGAGTAGATGCAGGTTCTTGGTCTGTGCAATATCAGGTGAACGGACATTTAAAGTCTCTCCCATATTTAATTAGGACAGATAACACCACTGTGAATGTCCTTTCCACATACCATATGTAAGTTTTTGGGTATCCTAAATTCCTAAAGTGGTATTTGCAGGGTACAGGGTTTGGTGATTTTAAATTGATACTGACAGACGCCCCCAAAAAGACTGCTCCAAATTGTGCTTGCAGTGAGTGATGGTGGAGTAAATGCTGGCATGGAAAACTCTGAGCCTCTTCCCTTCCACAGAAACACTGAATTAGTAGACAAAAATGGCAAGATCTACTTGACCTGAACTCTGGAAAATAATCAAAGGTTTACAATAACCAAGGGGACACTTAATTAAGAAAAAAGTTCCTAAAGGTCACAAGAGAGCCACTTGCTCACCTGTGCCCACCCCACCATCCCTAGCCAGGCAGTGGTCTTGGGGACAGTAGCCAGGGTTTCTGGCAAGCATTCCTGGTGGAGAGGAGCAGAGTGGAGCTTGTTTACAGGACAGTGTGGTGATCTGTTTGGTCCTGCCTGGTGACTCCCTGAAGGATAAACAAAATGACTTGCCTTTGTGTCACCAAACTCAGGACTGTCCCACGGCAGAGAAGCAGCTACATGGGCAGTATTTCTCAGAACATTTCAAGGTAATGGAACCAGTCATAGCAACCTGGGACAAAAGATATATGATGGGCAACCAATGGACATCCCGAAAAGCTGGGGGATTAGATGCTTTGGGAATAAAGGCTTTGAAAAGATTCCACACATTTCTGAGCATCTAGAAGACTCCCACACATGCCCATAATGAAACACAAGCTTGGAAAAGACGAGAAATTCTCAGCACTCACCTCTGGCTGAACTTCAAACTCTGAGCAAACAGGAAGTAAAGGTGTACACAGGAAGTAAAGGGGAAGGCAGAGTTGTAAATCATCTACCCGAATGTTGAGGGTATACCCCAGCATATAAACAGAGTCCAGTTATAAAGGTTAAGGGGGAAAAAATATATTTTTGAATCCAAAGGTTTAAGGAATACTCTGTCAGATTATTATCTGAGCACTAAACTAATGGGACAGTACTTCTCATGACAAACAGAATAATCATTATAAATATAATTTTAAAAGTCACTAAACCAAATAAAATATTACAAGCACACAATCAGAAACAAGAAACTATGAGGAGAGAAGAGAATCAAATACCTAGGATTATCACACTGTAATGTTAAAAATACTCAATTTTCAACAAAAATTGTGAGGCATACAAAGAAGCGAGAGTATTTATTACTCTTTTTTCAGCAGATGAAAAAAGAGTAATAAGTAGAAAATGTTCCTGAAGAAGCCCAGAATTCAATTTACTAGTCGAAGTCTTTAAATCACCTCACTTAAATATAGTCAATGAACTAAAGGAAACTATGAAAAAAGATTAAGAGAAACCAGGGAAACAATGTCTCAACAAATAGAGAATATCAATAAAGAGAGAGAAATTATTAAAAAGGAACCAAGTAGTTGTTCTGTAATTGAAAAGTATAATAACTGATAAAAAAATTCACTAGTGGGGTTCAATAGCAGATTTGAACAATGAAGAAAAAAATAGATAATGGGAAGATAAGTCAATTGTAATATTATTATTTGAAGGGCAAGAAAACAGAAAGAATGAAGACAATGAATAGGCCTTAATTGACCACAGGACATCATCAAACATGCAAACATACACTTAACAAGATTCCAGAAGGAGAGGAGAGAGAGAAAGAAGCAGAAGAAATATTGAAAGCAAATCATAGAAACAGAATATAGAATTATAGTTGCCAGAAGCAAGGGGGAGGGAAAAATGGGAAGTTATTATTTAATGGATACAAAGTTTCAGTTTTATGAGATGAAAATGGCTGTAGAGTTGGGCAGCTGTAAGTTTGCACAATATTATAAATGTGTTTAATATCACTGAAGTGCATACTTAAAAATGGCTGAGATGGGGACCAGAAGACGGCATAATGGTAACATCATCGGATTCTCATGTCATGAATGGTGGTTTGAGTCCTAGACTTGGCAGCTTAAAACTCATGCCAGACGCATGTGCATATATGCTCAAAAATCCCGAGAGGGGAATGGATGAGAAGAGATAGCTGCATAGCTATCCCTCTTGGGGGGTGAGTTCTCATTTTCTCTCTCTCTGACTCTCTGTCTTTTCTCCAGCAAGCACACATGTCCTATAACAAAAATCTCTCTCTAAAAAAAGAAATGGCTAAGATGGTAAATTTTATGTGTACTTTACTATAGTAAAAAATGTTTGAAATATTTGAATAAATAATGACTCAATCTTCCCAAACATGATGAAACACATGAATCTACATATTCAAGAAGCTTAATAAATTCCAAGTAGCATAAGTTCAAAAAGATCCATACAGATACATTACAATCAAATTATTAAAAGACAAAGAGAGAAACTTTGAAGCAGCAAGAAAAAAGATTAGCAGCTAGTTCCTCATCAGAATCAGGCCAGAAGGCAATGAGATGACACACCCATCCCTTCTAAAGGGTGCTTTCTCACTTTCTTTCCCATCGTAATGGTATTTAAGAGACAATTTCCTACAAAGTTTATGTGTTAGGAACTTTGTATCATTTAATTTCCACATGTTTGTGAACTTATCAGTCACCCCTGGGTTATTGTTTTCTGGCTTATTTCCATTGTGGTAATAGAAGCTATTTTATATGATTGGAATCATTTTAAATTCAGTGATTCTTATTTTGTCGATTAACACACAGCCTAATCTGGAGAGGTGAATGTTGTTATGTTGAATGTTTGTATATCTCTGTTAGCTCTAGATGGTTTACAGTGTTTCTTTAAGTGCTCTATTTTATTATTGCTCTTTGGTATGGCTGTTCTATTATTTTAGTTAATTTTTATTAGTGAAAGTGGTTTATCGAAGTCTCCAACTATTATTGTTAAAGAGGAACTGTCTATCTCTTTCTTCAGTTCTGCCAATTTCTGCTTCATATATTTTTCAAGGATCTGATGTTATGTACATAAATGTTTCCAGTTGTCACATATTTTTGATATATTGAATCTTCTATCAATATTTAGTGATTTTATTTGTCTCTCATAGCAATTTTTGACTCAAAAATCTTTTTTGCCTAGTTTTATTAGAGTCATTCAGCTCTCTTTTGGTTACTATTTGCATGAAACATCTTTTTCCATCCTTTCACTTTCCATTTATTTGTGTCTTAGCATCTAAAATGAACGAACAGACTGAAGAAGAAATAGACTTCTAACAGGTAAAGAGGTTAAAGCTGTAATCAAAAACCGCCCACAAAACAAGTCCAGTACCAGGTGACTTCAATGATGCAGAAGTCCTTTAAGCATTTACATAATTAGTATCAATCCTTTCAGACTTTTTAAAAAAGTATAATGAAAAACACTTTCTCTAACTCATTCTGTGAAATCAGTGTTATTCTGAGGCCAAAGCCAGACCAAACAAACAAACAAAAAGAAAATTATTGACCAATATCCCTTAAAACTATACAGTAAATTCAAAAGTTCTCCACAAAATAAAATTAAATCAAATCTAGTAGTGTTAAAAAGGTTACTTATCATTACAGACAGAGGGGACTTCTCTCAGAAATGAAAGAGTGATCAGCATATGAAAATCAATCAGCATAATACACCACACTGATTGAATGAAGAGGAGAAATATGTGATTATTTCGATAGATGCAAAAAAATCTTTTTAAAAAACTCAACATCTTTTTACCATAAAAGCATGCAAAAAATAGGAATGGAAAGGAATTTTCTCAACGTGCAAGATGGCATTCATAAAAGGCCACAGCTAACACTCAATGGGAAAAGACAAAAAGTTTTCCCTTAAGATCAGGACCAAGGCAAGGATGCCCACTTTTGCCATTTCTCTTTAATGATGTGCTAAAAATTCTAGTCAGTGAAATTAGGCAGGTAAAAGAAGTAAAATATATTCAAATTAGAAAGGAAGAAATAGACTTACTACAAAACTCCAGTGATAAAAATAGTGCTTTTGGGGGACCAGCAGTTAGTGTAATGACTATGTCACTGAGCTCCTATGTAGCCAACAGCGGTTTGAGTCCCGGACCGCGTGGCTTAAACTCACGCCAGGCACATGTGCGTGCGTGCCCAAAATCCCGAGAGGAGAGTGAAGGAGAAGGGATTGCAGCATGGCCATCCTCCCGGGGGGTGATTTCTTGCTTTCTATCTTTCTGTCTTTCTCTGTCTTTCTGGCAAGTGCATGCACCCTATAGCAAAAACCTCTCCAAAAAAAAAAAATAGTGCTTTTGGCAGAAAAGTAGACATATAGATCAACAGAATAATATCAAGAATCCAGAAATGGGGACCAGCAGTTGGCATGGTGGTTAAGGCACTGGACTCACATGTGGTCAACTGTGTTCAAGCTGTGGACCCAACAGTTTGAAAATCATACCCAGTACAGGTGCATGTATGCCCAAAATCCCGAGAGAAAAAATGGTTGTGGTGTGGCAGACACCACACCCGGGGTGGGGGGGTGTTTTCTCTCTCTCTCTCCAGCAAGCACATGTGCCTTATGGCAAAAACCTTAGAAAGAAAGAAAGAAAAAAAGAAAGAAAGAAAGAAAGAAAGAAAGAAAGAAAGAAAGAAAGAAAGAAAGAAAGAAAGAGAGAAAGAGAAAAGAATCCAGAAAAGAGCCTATGGTCAGCTGACTTCAACAAGAGCGTCAGGACCACTCAATAAGGAAAAATAGTCTTTTCTACAAATGGTGCAGGAACAACTGTATATTCACATGTGAAAGAAGAAAGTTGCTCTCTATCTCACACCACATGCAAAAATTAACTCTGGATCAAATACCTAAATATAGGAGCTAAATCTATAAAACTCTTAAAAGAAAAGATGAGAGTAAGTCTGCATTACCTTAGATTTGGCAAAGCTTTCTTAGATATGACACAATGAGCATAAGCAACAAAAGAAAAAAGGAGATAAATTGAACCTCACCAAAACTAAAAAGTTGTATACATCAAAGGACACTAAAGAGAGTGAAGTGACAGCTCACAGAAGTGGACATAACACAAGTCATAATTCTGATAAGGACCTAATATTCAGAATATATAAACAACTCTCACAATTTCACAAAAAAAAGAGAAGGCAATTAAAAATGGCCGAAGTCTTTTAATAGACATTTCTCCAAAGAAGATGTCCAAATAGCCAACAGCACATGAAGAGAACCCCGACACTACTTGCCATTAGAGAAATGGAAATCAAAACTGCCATAAGATGCTATTTCACGTCCACTAGGGTGGCTCTCCTTTAAAACACACACATATACAGAGAGAGAATAGCAAATGTTGACAAGGGTGTAAAGAAATTGGCGTCCAATACATTGCTTGTGGGAACATAAAATGATGCGGATGCCGTGAAAAACAGCCTAGCAATTCCACACAATTTAAACAGAATTACCATATGACCTAGCAATTCCACTCTTGGATATACCCCAAAGAACTAAGAAGAGGGGTTCAAACAAAGACAAGAAACCAAGAAAGTTCATAGCAGCACAATTCATATTAGCTAAGAGGTGGAAACAGGGTGTTTATCAACCAATAAATGGATAAATAAAATGTACTGCAGTCATACGACGGAATGAGTACATTCTATCCAGGGAAGTTCTGACGCGTGCTACGACATGGACGAAACTTGAAAACACTGTGCTAAGTGAAAAGAAGTCAGGCACAAGTGGCCACAGGCTGAACCATTCCATTTGCATGAAACGTGCAGCTTAGGCAGACCCACAGATACAGAGGTGATCAATGTTGACAGAGACTAGGGAGTGACATCTTAACACTATAGCTTTCCTTTTGGAGTGATGAGAATGTCCTGGAATTAAATAGTGTTGATGGTGACCCTGAATTATACACTAAATGCCCCTGAATTATATACACTTTTAAATGGATAAAATGGAAAATTTTGTATCATGTGATTACACAGTTGACATAAAATGCCTGCCTAGAGCTTCTAAGAATGAAGCAGTCTCTCAAGCTCAGCATTACTGGATATTATCAACATTTTAAAGCTTGATTGCTCTTACAGATTTATGTTTATTTTTAAAAAACTTTAATTATTAATGAGATTGAGCAGATTTTCATATGTCTATAGGAATTGAAATTTTTAAATTTCATATTCAATTTTTTTGTACCTCATCCTGTTTTAGTTGTAAGGACCTTACATTTTTTGTATTAACCTTGAATTTGTCATATGTGAGGAGTGTTCAAAAGTTTCTGGACAATGGGTATTATTTTAAAAAGTAAGTATGAATATAAAAAGTTTTTTGCACCAAAATAAACATGCTCTTTAATTTCATTTTTCCATGTATTTTTTGAAGCCCCCTCAAATACTGTAAGTACTTTCTGGGAGTTCAATATCTTCATTTGTAGACCAAGAGCTGGCCCTAGGCACCTGGCCTGTGGCTTGCAGGAAGAAGCTACCGGGTGGGCTCATGGAGGGCACGTCTTCCCCCAGGTGCCCCTGCAGGGGTCAGACTCAGTCAGTGGTGACTGGCCCTGCCCAGCACAGTGCAAGTTTTATGAGCTGAGCAAGGATACCTCGTGGTCACAGAACCGGTCCTAATGAGGTCCTCGAGGTTCTAAACATCAACAAGGAAGGGAAGGGTGTTATTGAGCTGCTGGTTGAGGCAAAACACACACCTAGAGGGGGATAAAAGAGGCCAGAGCACCTCACACCTTCACTTGCTCTCATACTCACTCACTCATACCCTCCACCTCACCCCAGCTGCCACCCACATGGCTGCCTCCACCATGTCCGTCTGCTCCAGCAACCTGAGCTATGGCAGCCGGGTCTGCCTGCCCGGCTCTTCTGAGTCCTGCACAGGCTCCTCCTGGGAGGTGGACAACTGTCCAGAGAGCTGCTGCGAGCCCCCCTGCTGTGCTCCCAGCTGCTGTGCCCCGGCCCCCTGCCTGACCCTCGTCTGCACCCCAGTGAGCTGTGTGTGCAGTCCCTGCTGCCAGGCAACCTGTGAGCCCAGCCCCTGCCAGTCAGTGTGCACCAGCTCCTGCACCCCCTCGTGCTGCCAGCAGTCTAGCTGCCAGCCAGCTTGCTGCACCTCGTCTCCCTGCCAGCAGGCCTGCTGTGTACCCGTCTGCTGCCAGCCCGTGTGCTGTGTGCCCGTCTGCTCTGAGGCTTCCTCTCCCTGCTGCCAGCAATCTAGCTGCCAGCCGGCTTGCTGCACCTCCTCCCCCTGCCAGCAGGCCTGCTGTGTACCCGTCTGCTGCAAGCCCGTGTGCTGTGTGCCCGTCTGCTGCAAACCTGTGTGCTCTGTCCCCATCTGCTCTGGGATTTCCTCTTCTTGCTGCCAGCAATCTAGCTGCCAGCTGGCTTGCTGCACCTCGACCCCCTGCCAGCAGGCCTGCTCTGTGCCTGTTTGCTCTGGGGCAGTCCCTTGTTCATCCACCTGCTGCAGACCCTCATCCTCCGTGTCCCTGCTGTGCCGCCCTGTGTGCAGACTCGCCTGCTGTGCCCCCACCTCCTCCTGCTGTGCCCCTGTCTCCTGCTGCCAGCCCAGCTGCTGCCGCCCAGCCTCCTGCGTGTCCCTGTGCTGCCGTCCTGCCTGTGCCCGCCCAGCCTGCTGTGGCCTCTAAGCAAGCCATCCTCCTGGTCCCTTTGTTCCCAGACTTCACAGCTAAATCCACCTTCTGGCTCTGACAACCTCAGAGGATAGGACAGACCCCTCTTCTTAGGGAGTCAGATGCTCTAAGCCCTTTCCTGTTTCTGGCTGCTGAGGCACCCCCCACTGAACCACTAGTGCCCTCCACCCCAGAATGAGTCCCTGTCCTCCAAAGGCCCTGCCTGGCCCCATGCAAGGACCCCACCACTGAGTCCTAATAAAGCCATTTCTGCTCATGCTGACTTTGTGTCTTGTCTGAGGACACTTTGGGGAGAGGACTCAATGTCACCTGGGCTGTGAACCCACAGGTCAGGCTCCATCATGGCCCAGGCCATCTAAGAGAAGCAGCCTCTAGAACTGAAGCCAGAGGCCATGGCACAAAGTGGACTCCTCGGCAGCAGCCACACTCACCCTCCCAGCTCCATGGCTGCCTCCCCAGACCTGAGGTACCCCATCTGGTCTCAGCCACATACCCCAAGTTTCAACCCACTTTGTTGCCCCAGAGAGACCAGTCATGGACTGCAGAGACTGAAATGTGACACATGGACAATGCCCTGGTCAGGGCCAGAGCTGTGTTCTCAGGCATCACGGTCAGAGTATAAGTGAGGCCGCTGGTACTAACAGGCAGAGGATGCCAGCCCTACCCCACATAGCGTCCCTAGAGACTTGGGAAGACTGGGCTACTGCTGACCCTGTGTCCCTGGTCTGGTCCAAGGGCACCCTTCCCACACCCACATCTTCTGTGTCTCTTCCAAATAGCCACCTGCATCTGCCTGCCATCCCTCCCACCTGGCAGGTGTTTGGTGACCCAGGATGTCACCTCAGGCCACTATTCTCTCCTGCTGCCAGGTATCTGTGCCCAGCTTTCAGTCCTATCCTGCCCGAGCAAAGTACCCCTGCAAATAAATGCCAAAGATCTCCAGCCTCATCAGCAGGCTTCGGAGTGTGAAGAGGATAAAGCCACCTTCCTCCTAGGCTCCCATCCCCCGGCACTCCCAGGTAGAACAGCCACCTCCCTCATTCCTCTTGGGGCAGACCCCCCGGGCAGCTAGCAGAGGCAATCTCCAGGGCCAGGGACCAACTGACACAGACTGTCCACCTTCTTGGAAGCAAAGCCAGGTCTCCACAAAGCGACACGAGGAGGCCTCCAGGACAGAGGTTTTGTTTCCTACTGCAGCCTTTGGGGAGGCCCTGGGATTTGAGCACCTTGGTGGGAAGGCTGGTCCCCTGCATGCATGTCTGAGCTCCTCCTCTCTGTGCCCTCCCATAGCTGCAGGGTTGGAACAGACAGCCAGGCAGAGGCCAAGGTTCACTCTTGGACCTCTTCCATGTTTGTCATTGTCATCTTCCCTGGCTGTCTCCTGAGAATGCTCCTCCTGGGGAGGCCTCAGTCCTACCACTGTTCTCTACAATTCCCATTAGATGGCCCTTCTGCCTCACCAGAGCCTCAGTTCCAGGATGACCACTTAGGAAAATAATCCCTCCTTACATGACACATAGTGACTCCTGGCACCTACTCCTAGGCATCTACACAAGGTAAATGAAAGCATCCATCTACCCAAAAAGGTGTACACCCATGTACATAACCCTGCTGATAATAGCTGAGCAGTAGAAACACCTAAATGGCCATCAGTGGCTGGACTGGGTAAATAAAACATGGCCCAACTACACTGTGGAATGTCACTCAGCATTAAGGGATGGAGTTCTGAGCCATTGTTGCAACATGGATGAACCTGAGGACGATATGCAAGTAAAAGAAGCCAGTCAAGGGCCACAGCCTGGATTTCTATGCAAGTTCAGAACAGGCAAGTTCACAGAGGTGAAGAGCAGATTGGTGGGATGCCAGAGCTGGGAGGAAGAAGGATGATGACTGCTAATGGATATGAGTTCGAGGGTCTCGAAAAGAGGGTATCCCAAAATTGCATAGTGCCGATCGCTGAATAACTCTGAATATACTAGAAGCCAATGAAGTGTGCACTTTATGGCGTGTGAACTGTATCTCAGTAAATTTGTTGACAACAAAAAACTTTAGTCCATTTCCTGTTTTGGATGTTGACTGGGCAGTGCTTTTATCTCCCCTTCATCCAAACAGAAATGAATGACTCAACAGCATGATAGGCAATCAGGCAAGCCATCAGCAGACTATCACTGAGGATTTTCTGAGAAAGAGAAGACAGATCAGGTCGACTTCAAAATTCAACAGAAAGAAAGACAAGTGGGAACAGAAAAATGAGAAATGGCTTTTCCCAGAGAAGCGGGTAGCTGGGGCTGTATGTGAAAATAGCTCTAGGCACTTGGGGGACTTAACTGAGGTATCTGAGTACTGACAAGGAGTCGCTCCAGTGTTTGTGTCCAGTCGGCTGATGTGGAGTAGACAGAAGAGCCAGGCTGAAGGGAGTGGTCCCAGAAGGCTCCCAGCATGGGCCACAGGATGGAGGCAGTGCTCAAGAAATTCTGGCTGCCAAGATGAACAGAGTCCTTGAGCCTATTCAGCTGATAATGAGCTCCCCCTTGCTGCCAACAGTCCAGCCATCAGTTCCACGCACAAAACACCAGCTCCCGGAGCAAAGGACATTCATCAGTGCTTACTGGACCCTCAGTAAAGTATGAGTAACATAAAGGAAAAAATGTGAATAACAACCAAAGGTCTTCAAATAACTAAGAAAATCACAAGCGTAAAAGAAAAGTAAAACTCTGGGACCAGCAGTTGGCATAATGGCTATGTCACTGTACTCCCATGTAGTCGACTGCGGTTTGAGTCACGGACCCAGTGGCTTAAACTCAGGCTGGGTGCTGTGTGTTCAAGATCCCGAGAGGAGAATGGAGGAGAAGGGATGGCGGCGTGGCCATCCTCCCCGGGGGGGTGATTTCTCGCTTTCTGTCTCTCTCTCTCCTTTTTGGGAGGGTCATGGCCCCCAAAGCAAAAAAACCTCAAAAAAAAAAAAAAAAAAAAAGAAAGAAATTCAGAAAAAGAGAAGTAAAACTGAACAAATGGCAATGCTGAATCAAGGAAATAGAGATTCTATTACTATCTAAAATAAGAACAGGGCATGTGGGAAGAAGAAGGACAATGAGCAAAAGAAGAGGGAAAGAAAAGAAGGAAGGGAGGGAGGAAGGAGGCAAAGAAGGAAAGAAAGAGTTCTTAGAAACTCAAAAGTGGCACTCCAAATAAAAACAAAACTCAGTAAACAGTCTACATAATACAATGTGAATGGGTTAATGTTAAAATGATAACTTGTAGATCAGAAATGAATTTATGCAGAATGCAATCAGAAAGACAAAGAGATTAAGAAGAGCTTAAGGCACAGGTGATGGGAGCCAGCAGGTGGCATGGTGGTTAAGGAGTTGGAATTTCCACATGGCTGACTAGGGTTCCAGTCCCAGACCTAGTGGCTTATTTTCTCATTCATAATAATAATAATAATAATAATAAATAATTCTTAAAAAAAAAAAAGACACGGATGATGAAGCCAGGAGATCCATTCTCTGTGGCTCTACCCAGAATTCACAAACAAAAAACCCCCAAGAATGGAAGAAGTTAATCAAATGTATGTCATATTAAAATTTCCTTGCACTAAAGGAAGATGTGAGCAATGAAATCAAAATAAACCAATGAAAGCATTAAAATAATATTGAGGGAAGGACCAGCAGATACTGTAATGGTTATGTTGGTGGGCTCCCACATAGTCAACTGCAGTTCCAGTCCTGGATCTGGTGGCTTAAAACTCACACCAGGTATGTGTGCCTGTGTGCCCAAGATCCCGAGAGGAGAATGGAGGAGAAGAGATTGCAGCGTGACCATCCCCTCTGGGGGGTGATTTCTCGCTTTC